GAGACATTCTCAGCAATTACATGCTGTTCTCAATGCTTTTTTTTTTCAACACACCCACACACAGTGAGCAGGTGAAAGTATGCCAAATTATTCCCTTGCTTTTCTTAAAACAACAGGAAATCAACTATCATTATGCATGACTAATAAAGAACTGTGAATACCAGTGGCTCCTTTCTAACAACATAATCAAATATATCATAGTCCTTTCCTTCTCTGGGTATAAATACATCGGTTGCCATTGCTGCCATGCACACAGAGCACGTCTTGCCCGAAAATGATATTTTACAGTGCTACAAGTGCCCTCTTTTGCATGGGGCAGTCTTGAAATCTGGGTGTTAAAAGTGATCTTTTTGGCCAATGCCCTGAGTGCTTAGTGCGGCAACAAAATGTGAGACAGGGAGCGAACAGACAGACTATAGTTTTCTCTTAGTTCATTCACTTCTCTCAAGTGTATTTCTTGGCAGTTCTTTTCCATAGCATCAGGCCAAGCTCACCATCTCAAAGGGTCTTCTCAGAATCATGAAACATCTTATTTGGAATCACATCTTTTCCCTCATTTCATCACCAGTCTGTTCTCAGCAGTCAGCTTTGCTGTTTTACTCCAGATGTGTCCACTAGTCAAGGAAACTATTTGCTTTTGTGCAAAGTGTCCTCCCCTCACCCTCTATTTTTAAGATGCAATGTCTCTCTTCCACTTGCTACTTCTGCTAGCTTCTCTGTAGACAAAGTGTTGGAAAAGTGTTGTAAAATCGTTCACGCCTCATACCTTCTTTTTCTCTTTACCCATACATAAAATTGCACAAGTGGCCAAAGCTACTGTGATTTTTCTGTTGACTTTTTTCTCAGTTGCAAGTCATGCTTTACTAGCTTTAGTGTCATGCACTGAAACCTCCACAGTGCAAAAGTCAGGTATTTGTGGAGACCATTCCGTAAGGATTTGGTATATTTCATATGTCACAGCACAGTCATACATTTACTGATGGAAGAACAAGAGGGCTACACGATCCCTATTCCATTTGAGTATGATTTTGCTTGTCTGGCATCAGTATGCTCAATACAGACTGCTCTTCTACAGCAGCAGTGATCTGCTACTTGAAGTGTTACTTCTTAAAGTTTTCCAAGAAGAAAGGAGGATTATGATCCTTAGGGCAATGTTCAGTCCATTTTGTAAGGCTATTTTTGATTGCTCTACCACTTTACATTATTTGAATTATGCCTTTTGCCTCCTTTTCCTAATGTCAGATTAGCTTACTTGCTCTGTGACTCCTTTTAGTCTTTCTATTAATTTCTACTCCTTCTTCTGCTATATCTTCCGTGCAGGTGACATACCAAAAGGCAAACAATTTGCTGTGCGGTTGTTTAGTTAGGTGTTAGTCTAGGTGTTTAGTGCACATGACAGAAAACATACAAGCACCATAACCCACGCTGGGTAGGCTGTAGTACTTTCACTTGATTGCTTTATGCTGAAGATCGATGATCAGCATTTGCTTTTTTTCCTCCACAGCAATCTCATTTCCAGGTATTTTCCACCCTTTTAATTACACTCTGATATGTGATGCAGCAGAGTGCTTCTCCGCTTGTGACCCTTTTCCTGGCAATCATCTCATGTACTAGTAGCGCTGTGGTCATGGAGAGTTTGATTAGATTTTTGGTAGAGAACCTGTGCACTAAAAACATGACTAGGAAATACATGCTAGCTCATTTTTACATAGTCTTCCACCATTTAAATTTTCATCATGATGATTTTAAAGCTTTCTATCCCAGAATTTATTTGCTGAAAACATATATTCCATGGTCCTGTAGACTCTGATGTTTCTGTCGTACCTGAATTTAACACTGATTTCTCCCCTTATAGTGAATGAATACCGTCCAACTAATGCCAGTGAGGCCGTCGCTGTTAATACCAGGGTACTACCTGGTGTTTCTGACTTAAGATGAAGACCAATTAAGCTTGAGGTCAGCTGTTCGTTTTCCAAGTACTTCTTCTGGTCCTGTGAAAATAGCTGCAGATTTTTATTTTTCTGTATTCTGGGGTAAGCCCCCCAAACCTAGTGTATGTAATATCACTTCAAGGTTTTTCTAGTTAAAGTTATTCTCCAGTTGCGTGCAGAGCATGAGCTGGATCATTTTGCTCATCTAGAAAATGTACCTGTTTAACACATGGTACGTGAAAGTTTGAGTAGTCCCTACTCTAGGTAGTCCCTTTTTAATGTGTTTTCTTTAACTGTGTCTCCATTGTAGGCTGCAAACTTGCTATGCCTTCATCACATATTTGTTTGCATGTTATCTCATTGCCTCCTGTTTTGTCTTGGCCTGTTTGTGCATGATAGGGAAAGGTTCAGTGCAGGCAACCGACTGGTGATCATACCTCTCTTTTGGTTTTGTCACTGTGTCATCGTGCCTACTGCTAACGACAGAGGCACCTGCTTTTCAAATGGGTGACATGCTCTAGCCTCCCTAAAAACTTTTCAGCACTCAGTTATCCTCTGCTACTAATTTTATGTGCATTTCTTTCATGGCTGTCCTGCTCCAAAAATGGTTCAGGTCCTCCACACCACATACAGTCGTGTCACCCATTTTTCAGTTATCCCCAAAGGTTTTCAAATTGTCTGAGATTTTATTTTCTTCCATATATGTAGAGAGAGGTATGTCTCTGCTGCATAAAGTCTAGCCAGTCTCTCTGGATTCTCAATATATGCGCTGCTGAGCTTGCCACTGAAGTGTGTTTTGCAGATACACCTGTTCTTTTCAAACACGTGATACCCGTTTGAAAACAATCAGCTCTCTAGCTCTCTGGTATGGAGATCGCTCCTCTGTCTCACAGCCTGGGAAAATTAGAGTATTGGTTTCCTCCTCTTTTTTTTTTCCAATTCTTCCCAATGTTTCTAGTTTCAAAGTCCATGGGCAACATATTTGCCACGCACAAGCCATAAGAGTTAGTTTCTTCTTCTGACAGCCTTAAATGCCTTAACTTAATTGCATCAAGTGGTGCAGACACACATAAGAGAGGACAAATTAACTGTCAACAATAAGGTTTTTTTACAAATACTCTACTTTAGGAGCTCAGGTGTCTGCCTCTCTCCCACGCTGAGACACACACACATGCACACAGGAGGAGGGACCAAATGGATCGTCTTTGAGCCACTTCTATGTCTCAAACGGAGAGTGCAGCAGCTACCTAAGATTGCACCTATGTACAACTGGAATGGGGTTTGCACATTAACAACCTCAAACATCTCCATTTTCTGAAGCTAAGATCCATCTTTCCTGTCATAAGCATTGTAATTTTAGAAGCCCAATCAGACAGCTTTGCATGCGATTTGCCTTGTGACTATCCTATATTGTAGCTTTTTTAACAAAAGAAAACAAATAAATACACATTTTTGCACTACTAAAACTAGACCTTGGGAAATGAAAACAGCTGCTGATAAAAATTCACAGTATTCTCTGACAAAAAGGAAGTCTCGTCATAACTTTCAGAGCCACGCAGAAGCAGCAGTAGTGACTTTGAACCACATCTTAGTAGTAGCTTTGATATATAACTTTGAAGTTGACTCTTCTTTGAGGTGGAGGTTGCACCAGATAACCTTCAGAAGTGCTTTCCTGCCTGAATTTTTCTATAGGCATATGGTAGTAGGGATGAGGAGCCACATCTTTGATGAAAACTTTTCACATAGGCTTTTCAAACATCCTTGCCTGTTATCATTCATCTGATCTTTGATGTGATACTTGTAGGGGAACGATCACGTAACTGAGGTCTGTATTTTGACCCTAAGCCAAATACCCCGACTTATTGCTAGTAAGTGACATATTAACAAATCTACATCTAAAAGAATAAAAATATATTGCTATTCAGTGTAAATAGAAGGAACCACATCAGCTGCAATGATCTTCCACTGCAGCTGCTTCTCCTTTTTTGATTGTGTGGAAAGAAATAGGGGAGCACTCCCCAAGGAACGTCTTGTATCTAATGGCAGTGATTTGGCAGTGAGAGCCTGCTTTTATTAACTGCAGGGTTGTTCAGTGTGTAGCATAGGAATGGAGTCACAGGCAGAAGAATATCCTTATATTTCAAGCCCTCTGGGGAATTCTGCAGGTAGGGGCAACTTAGGACCTGCCTAAGGCTGAGCCTTAATGAAATACCATTTGGAAGGGAAACAGAAGACAAAGTTGCCTTATAGATTAAAAACTCATCAGGGATTTCAGGCAATGCAGATTCAAAGGCCTGGCGCAGGCAGAGAAGAGGTTTGCACCTGACCTGGGTTTCCAAATCCCAAAGAGTCTCCTGGCTGCGGAGACACATTTGCCTTTCTTCCTTATTCCGAAATGCCTTTCCACAAAAATTGGTAGGCATGTGTAGTAATAGGCTGTTCTTATTCATCATGTGTGAGAAGAGCACGATAGAAACCATCGCAAAGAACAGCAGAAGAGCGCATTCAAACTATGCATTTTAGAAAGAACAAATTTATATCCAGAACTCTAAAAAGTCACCTGTAAAGTTAAGCCACAAGCATTTAAAGTCAGGAAGCTTTTAGCCACAAAGAAACGATTCCACGTGCATCCCTGTTCACCAAGTGCCTGTTATTAAAACAGTACCTAAAATATCAAATGAGTGGTTCCCACACTAGGATATTCCATCAGGAAATATTTCAGTGAGAGATGTGAATTGGCTGCTGCCGATATGTTCCGATTCAACCATAATTCCATAGGAATGTTTACCTTCCTTTAAATTTAATGTAAATTTAAGTCTACCCTCCCAAACTGATCACTGATTTGCAGCCTATCAGCGATACACAGAGAGGCTGAAGCAACGTCAGCTTTAAGACTCAAAACCGCGAGCCCCCCTTCTTGCTGCTGGCTGGCAGCAGAAACAGCACTGAGACCTGCGGGTCTTGCACAACCCTGGGGTTTCTTCTTCATCGCGGACAAAGTATTTGGTATTCCCAGGGCGACTCAGAACTGGGAACAAATAAAACATTAATGCGGCAATCTTTTTTAAGGACCGTCACTGCGGCGTTGGTTTGCAGCGTGGCAGTGACAGCTTTGCGGAGTGCCACAACCATACGTGTTGGCGAAGGAGGCGCCCGACAGTAAACAAGCCAAACGCAGCCCTTGATGTGGAGCCAGAAATAAAACTGCTGGTGAATGTGAACCACAGCTTTCAAGTAGCCAACTACTCCTCCAACACCCCTTACCAAGGCGATTCTGTCAGAACTTTTACCTTCTGTGTCTTCAGGTGTGGTCACGCATCATATCAAATCACGTTTAGGGTTATTTACTATTTATGCAACCGTAAACCTAACATCTTTTGAAAGGTATTTTGAAGCACAACCCAACAACAGAGCCCTGGTTGCCTGGCAGGCTTTGCAAAGGCCCGTGCCCCCAGCCGGATTGCAGTGCGCGGCCCCCTCCCTCGCACAGGCCGAGCGGGGCCGTGGGACCGGTTTCCACCGCCTCGCAGGACCAACGAGATGCTGCTGCTCCCTCCGCGCTGTCACAAA